GTTCCCCCACGTGTGCTACATTGCATGTTGTTATCCTCTGAATAGATGATCAGACTACCAGCTTTAGGCCTACAAAGTTTGTGAAACACTACACTACAAGCATTAATTGATATTTTACCTCGTTATCTATCACCACGACCTGTACTTCTCTGGATCAGCCTGGCAGGGCAGGGGAGGAGGAGGACAGTGGGGATGGGACACTGGCTCTTGTCTCCCTGCCCACGGCCTAGAAGGGACTGGGATCTAGCTCTCACCCAGTCAGCCTGTGTATGGTGATGACTCACAGGAGGTCTCAGCTTCTTCCAGAATTCTTGTAATGTAAGTCCTACCTGAAAAGTAAGCACCAGATAACCGGGCATGGTGGCGCACACCTGTAATCCCAGCACTCAGGTGGATTGCTGAGTTCAAGGCCAGCCTGGGCTACGTAGTGAGTTCAAGAACAGTCTGCACTACATAGAGAAACACTGTCTCACAGACAGAACGACAGAGAGCAAGCGCATTGTGGTATGTGGATCCTCTATTAAAAGTTTTGTTTCTTCTAGAAGTGACTGAGGTACTTTATTTAGAAAATACAGAAATAAAAATGCAACAATTAAATGTTATATTCTATTTTCTACTTCATGCTAAGAAATTATTTGGAAAGTACTTGTAAAGCTTTTAAGTGAAAAGTGATGCCTAGTGGAAAGAATTTATGATATGCTATAATAAAACATTATGGCATTCCAATTACTTTTCCCCCATGTAGGTGTAATATATATTGCTGTGTATTATTTATATTTCCTTAGGACACTAGATTGTTTTAGGAAAACAGTAAAATATAATCTGGAAGAAGCAGTATAAATAAGTAAAAATGTGACAGTAGTCTGTTAAATTGGCCTAAACTTAGAAAGTGAGAAAAATTTGTTAAAACAGCATTACCTATTAGTTATTCTTGGACTCCATAATCTTTTGGGAATCAAATATTCAGTCAACCTACAGCCAGTACATTTTTCCAGCAGCGATGCCAAGTATGATGACTATCAGGTCTAAAGTGTTTTTAACAAAACAATGCTGGCTCTTTAATGCCCAACTACGTTGGCATGTTAGAGATACCAGGCACTTTGTTTTAGAATATTTGATGGGAAACCATGGTCTGGAGTTCAATGGCTGATTAAGGTAGTTAATGAAAAGATGAAAGAATAAGGCCGTTAACGATTCCTAGACATTTTTTTACAAGTTTAAAATCTTTAGCTGCCTTATGGTACTATTGTGTTTAGAGTTAAGAAAAAACAAAGGTAAACTCATCATATTTAAAACAAGATAGAATTACTTACAAATGGATGTTTCAGTGTTGTTTGCTTCTGATACCAGGTACTGTTCATTGTTTGAGTAACTACTATGTTTTGGTTGTTCTCCACCTAACCCCCTTGAACCCAAAGCCTTCACATTGAGCTTCCTTGTCTACTTCTGTGTTTATTTACTTGGATTTGATTATGCATTTTAGTGAAAAAGAACATCCATGAGTATGCGGACAGCTCCAACTTATATCTGCTCTTCCTTTGTCCTTGTTTCTAAACAAGGAAACCACTCTCCTAAAATGTATATTTATCATTTCTTTCTTTTGTTCTATGACATATGCTTTTCATTTTTAACTGTAACACAGTTTTCACCTTTTTTATTGATGAAATCTACCTCATAAGGTTGTTTTGAGATTAGCTGAGGAAAATATATATTGAGATTTTTCGCTGTGCCAGGCCTCTCAAAATACTCAATATGTGGTAGGTATATATAGTTGTGTGTTAACTAATGTTTGCTGAGTAAAAAGAGCAAGCAAAACATGTGTTTTTCTAGCTGTATTTTTTTTTTTTTTAATTTCTTTCCCTGGATTCTTCTGGAGAAAGTGAGAGAGAGTATGTAGGGTTTTAGGGTCTTTTCATCTCTTCTTGAAATACTCAGCAACAAAAAGCAGCAACAGAGAATGGAGTTTGGGGGATCAGCAGCACTATTAACTTACAGTTTTTTTTTACGGTCCTATGTCCCCAGCAAAGCACTTTTGTCTCGTTTGATTTGGTGCACTTTAGTGAAATTCCTCCACTCCTTCATAGCCAATGTTGAAGAAAAAAAGAATTGAATTAACCCAGAAATAATTGGTGACATAAATGAATCAATTAGTTTACATGGGTACGTAAGCAGTACATTTATATTGGGGTTTTGGTCTACTAAAGTTCATAATGAACCATAGGTGGGTTGATTAAACATTATTTTAGTAAGCACTAACAAGCATTAACAGGAAACAGTCACCTTGGTTGGCAGACAAAGGAAATAGTTCCTTAGAAAACAGAAATAACTTCTAGATTAAAAAAAAGAGGAAAAGAGTGAATGCGTTATAAATGCTGTGCACTTTTTAGCATGTTAATAGTATATTAAGATTATTAATTCTAGCTGGGTGTGGTGGCTTATGCCTATAATCCTAGCACTAAGGAGGCTAAGGCAGGAGGATTGCTGCTCGTTCCAGGCCAGCCTGGGCTACATTGTGAACTCAAGGCTAGCCAGAATTACTCAGTGAGAACCTGTCTCCAAAAAACCCCATTAGTTCTTAATATATTAATCCAAATTAAATTGTACCTTTTTCCTTTGGATATATATTCCAAGTTTTCATGATCTTTGATAAACTATGGTAATATACTTTAGGTAATCCTAGCACTCTGAATGGGTGAGGCAAGAGGCTCTTAAGTTCCAGACCATCCTTGGCAGTTTAGCAATTTAGTGAAACCCTACCTCAAAACAAAACATAAAAGCTACTTGAGATAGTGCATTGTGAAGGGTCTGGATTCAGTTTCCAGTAACCCCCTCCCCCTGCACATGTCAAATATATATATGTGTGTGTGTGCTTACACCCATGCGTTAGCCTGTATCCATATCTCTTATGCCTCTGTAATTTGCAAAATAAAATCTTTAAGTTAATACAGTAACCATTTTCCTTTAGATTGAATCTACACATTTTTGACTCCTTGATGTTGGACAGAAGTCAACTCCCCACCCCCACCCCAGATTTCCTTTCTGTTTGGACAAAAAAGTAGATTTAAGTGTTTTTCTTTGTATCAAAAGAACTTGATTTCAGCATGGATTGAGAAAGGTTAATTGTATTAAAGTGAATACTTGGTGATAATGTCAAATTAGATTCTCTTTCCCCTCCTATATATTATTTGAGAGATAGAAGTAATTTCCTTAAACGTTTAGCAGTATTTAACAAGCTGAGAATTTTCAGCCAGTATATATATTCAGATAGATAGATGCCAGATTTGCCAGATTCTTTCAGGATGAACACTTCAAGTATTAGGTAACATGGTTGTTTCTTTGTGATACCTTGTGCATGCTAGGCAATCTCTATGCTACTGAGCTGTATCCCCAGCCCAGATAATAGGGTTTTTGAAAAGAAACCTTTTTTTAAAGCCAGTGTTTAAGTATATGTATGGTTCAGGCTAGCCTTAAGTTCACTTTGTTTCCCAGGCTGGCTTTGAACTCTTGGTGATCCTCATACCTCAGCCTCCCAAGTGCTGGAATTACAGGTGTGTGCCATCGTGCCTGGCTGAAAAGAAACTTTTAAATTTATTCTTTTCTGTGAACAAAGATCATTTAAGAGTACAGTATCTAATTTTAACTTTCCTTCTTGACCCTACTGAGCCTTGTCTATATCAGAGTTAGGATTAACTAGAGGATCGACGTATTTATAAATTCAGTCATTGTTACCAAAGTAAGATGTCTTACAATGCTATTTTTTTTTCAGTTACTCATGAAGATAATTAGTAATCTTTACTTATTGAAGTTTTTGGTTTCTTGGGATAGTAGACAAGTCCTATAAACTTTGTGCTTCATTTTTTTTGAAAACAGGCATATGCTTCTAATTGGTCTTTTGAAATTCCTTGCAATATTGACTCTACTACCTTTAGACACTATTTTGAAAATTATTTATATCTGAAAAACAAGAATGAGTCACAAAAGAAGTTTATAGTAGATATAAATCTAATTTTATGAATAATTAAAAAATATAAAATATTTTCTAAAGATATAGAAGTCTTTAATCTGAGATATAAAAGTAATCGTAAATCTTGAGTAGGTGTTTTATGCTTTCTGATTTGAGTTTCCTGTACTTTTGCCCTTCTAGGTGATTCAAAGTAAGAGAATTAGTTTCTTGAACTATGACATTCCCTTTAGCTTCTTTAGGAGGGAAAATGAATTGTGATAGTGATGAATTAAAATATCTTCACTAAAGGACGTTAAAAGATCAGGGTTAGACTAATGTAATGATTAGAAAAGCCAGTTTAAAGCTAATGATGTGTGCTATTTCACATGTAAAGGATGGCAAGTTCTATTACAAAGGAAGATTTTGGACTATCTTGAGGTGTGGTGTTTTGTTTTGTTTAACATTTTTTTCTGTCTAGTTTTACCCAGTTTTTAAAAATGACTTTTTTTTTTTTAACCAGATGTGGTGGTACATGCCTGTAGTCCTAGCACTCTGGAAAGTTGAGGCAAGAGGATTGCAAGTGAGAGTACAACCTGTGCATTTTTTTTTTTTTTTTTTTTTTTGTACCGGGCATTGAACTCAAGACTGAGTACTTGCAAGGCAGGTGCTTATGCCCCTGAACTAAATCCCCAGCCCCAACCTGTGCATTTTACCTAGACCTCCAAACAAAGTAAGAAATAAAACAGGACTGGAGATGTAGCCCACTGTGAAGTCCCTGGATTCAGTTTCCAATGCTGCAAAGAAAAGAAAATAAATAATTTTCTAGAGACTATCTTGAACATAAGAAATAAAGCCAAAATATAATGCAAGAGAGCAGAACCTTTGAAAATGTATTCTTCAATTTTTAATAAAATCATATGTAAACACTAAATTTTTTATAACATTCATGTATTGGGTTGATTTTTGTGCATATAATTCTTATGAGAGAAAAGATATTTCATTCACATATAACTAGGTTGTTGACTAATATTTTTTCTCTTCCTATTTCTCCCTATAGAATCTGTCTATGATCTTCTCCCAAAGGAGTTACAGTTACCTCCATCTAGAGAAACATCTGTAGCATCAATGAGTCAGACAAGTGGTGGTGAGGCAGGCTCGCCTCCTCCAGCTGTAGTTGCTGCTGGTATGCATTTCATTTTGTTCTATTAAACAAAACCTAGGGTATTATCTGGCCAACATGAACAGTGCTGGCAGAGTTCATATCAAAAAGTGTGTGATTTGAGGGTTTGTTTAGTAAGTTTTAAATGTTAATGTTTCAATTTTTCAGTATAATTTTTTGATGTAATTATTATTTCTTAATTTCATATTGGCACATCTCTAGGTGCTAACCTCTAAAATGGACCTTGTCAAATATGAAAGTATTTAAAACTGTTTTGTTGACTGCACACGAGCAAAAAGGTTAAATATAAGCTATGAATAGAAAATTATATTTGAGTGTCTATTTAACAATTATGTTTAAAGACTTGCTGAAAGGAAAACATTGTGTGTTCTGAAAAAAATACTCAGACTCTCAAATCTCTTTTCTGTTTATAGCATGTTGCTGCAACCTTTTCTCTATATTTAAAAATATTTGCAACATACTTTAAGTTAATTGAAAATAATGGAAGATTTGAATACATTTGTATAAATATTTTTATCAGTGAAAAAGTATAGAAAGAATGCTTGAAATTTATCATTTATTTTTACCCAGCCCTCAAATCATATACTTTATAACTATGTAAGATTGGTTCAGATATTTATTTTAAAACAGAACAAAAGATTGACAGATAAACTAACAGGAAAAAAAGTGTTAGTGATAAATTAGCTGTAATTCTTCTTCTGCCCTCCCACCCCCAGCTGGGTATATAAGTTACTAAATGTGTTTGCTTTAGTAAAAGGGGAATTTACACATTTTGAAGTTTTATCTGTCATTGTAATGAGAGGTTTCTTGCCTAATGTGAGACCTCTTATCTTTTAAAATGTTACATCCATCAGAGCATGTTTTCATTAAATTCTTTCAGTTTCAAAAAAGGAACAGTGAACTGGAAATTTGGATTTAAATGAGGCTGTTGGTACTATAGCTGAAGGTATTCTTCTCAAATGTATTAATCAAGTACCATTAACCTGTGTACCAATCTTGCCCAAACTGTATAATGTATATAAATCCTTGTTGGTTGAGGGCAAGAAACTTCTAAATATGACAAAGAAACTTACTTGTTTTGCTCACTGTTCATGTATTGCCAGACATTTTCTAACAGTTACTGTGGATTTAACTGTGAAAGTAAACTTTTTTGTGATCAAATTGGTAAGATGATCGGGTTCACTTTATAACCTCTAAGTTCTACTCTAAGATGGAGTCTAAATATTTTTCTGGAATTTAAAGTTTTAAATGTTTTAAAAATTGTATGAAATAATAAAATATGTAATAAAACATTTCCATGAGATATTTCACTTTAAATCCACATGTAGAAATTAACTAATTGACTTCTTATGTATCTTTTGAAATTGTTTTTTTTTTTTAAGACATTGAATCTGTATAGAACTAAAAGTCTGTTTCTTCTGTGCTTTTTAACATCTTGTTTTCAGTAGATCCAGTTCCTTTTAAAAGCTGAAAAAAAGTTAGGTTTGGAAAAAGAGCAGTTCTCCTTTGTAAATAATTCTGAACTCAATTTTAGGAATTCTAATGTATAAGTATTAAAATTTACTGATTTTGAGTCACTAACAATATGTTAGCCCTTTCCCCTCATCTAGTTGAAATTATCTACAGATTTGTAAATTAGATAGCAATGAATTTAAAAATCATGAAGATGAGAATTTTGACCCAACCAAAAAATACTCTGAAATAATAAATTCTTAGTTTTTGTATTATTGACTTTATAAGGATAGTGAAAAGAATAAGGACTCAGCCTTAAAGTTTTGTTATATTCTCACAGATTCTATGATCTAAAGTCATATGTAATCTATTTTTTCTTGGTAACTATCATAATTTATCCTGCCATTCTGATGTCTTATTGGTACAAAGATTCCTTTATTCTATAACATTATAAATTAGACAGTTTAAATTACAGATAATTATTGTAGAGAAATAATTAGTATGTATCATTAGAGTCACATTTTTATTTGACATGTTAATATCCATGGTGACATGACTATCAAAGAAAGATTTACGTACATTACCAAGTTACTCATTGTTCTTTTGACCAAAAGACTTCAGAGTTTTGAAGGAGCTGGATTGGCTGCTATCAGGTATGAGGGCCTGGTGGGAACAGACTTCTAGTTCTGCCATAAAGGTTTGTGTTTCACAAGTTTTAAATCAACTTAAATTTTAAAGTTTAGAAGCTGATATTCATGGACATTCTTTATTATTTCATTATTTCGGATGTGTTCTCAAATTCACCAATGTAGATTTCTTTTTCCCTCTTCACATAAAACTGAGGGCATAAATAAATATGGTGCTGCTAATCCACAATCCAGAATATTGGGTAAAGGAATGTCTCAAACCCCTCGATCTATGTCTTTACACACTTCCATCAGCATCTTTAATTGTGCATGGTAGCACATATCTGTAACACTAGTACTCTAGGAGGCTAGAATAGGAGAATTGCAAATGTAAGGCCAGTTTGGCAATTTAATGACTTAGTGAGACCCTATCTTAGAAATTAATAAAAGGGCTGGGGATGTAGCTTAGTGCAAAGGTCCTGGGTTCACTTTCCAGTACCACCAAGCAACCAAACAGAAAACTTTTTATTCTGTGAGTCCCAGGGCTAGGATTGGGGAGAGAGGAGCTTATATGTGATTCTGCTTTTCACTAGGCCATATCAGAAACTTGAAGGTATAGTTGAGTGTTACCAGCTGAAATTTGTCTACCTTCCCATTTTTAAGAATTCTGTTTTTATCTTGTGAGAGCTGGAGAGCTTGATATTCAATATGTCAAAGAAGAAATCTTTAGAAATAACAAGTTTTGTAGGTTCACAATAGTTAAGACAGTGACCATTTTAAACTTTTAAAAGTTATCTAAATGAGTTGATGGTATGGGGGGGCAAATGAGTCAACTAAGAGAAATGCAAGTCATAAAATGATTCTTTTGTTTGTTTTTTGGAGAACCCTATAGTAACATTAGGTTATACAGAGCTAAAATACAGGTATGATGTAGAGGAACTATCAGAATTTGGGATTTTGGCAAGAGATATTTTTAAAAATAACTTTATTGAGATATAATTCACAAACCATTCACCAAAAACATAAAAAAAATTAAATGCTATTCAGTCAAGTATTATTTTTAATTACTTGTATGTTTAGGATTACCTTTAGATTTCTTAGTACTTTTTAAAATTAGTTTAAATAATTTATTTAGTTGGGCATGGTGTTGCATGCCTGTAATCCCAGCACTTGGGAGGCTGAGGCAGGAGGATCTTTATGGGGTCAAGACCAGCCTGGGCTACAAAGTGAGCTCAAGACCAGGCTGAACTGCATAACAAGACCCTGTCTCAAAAAGACAATAAATAACTAAATACTAATACTTTGAATTTCTTCATAAAAATCAGAAATACCCTTTAGTCTTCATTTTACAAAGTCATATTTTGTTCTATCCTGGATACTATGTTTGTGCTTATTTGGGGTTATGACATTATATTGGCTTATATCAAAATAGAATATTTTGGTAAGTGACTGCTTCCTTTTTTGAGACAGGATCTTGCTTTCTAGTTCAGCCTGACCTTGAACTCATTATGTATCCCTGGCTTCCCTCACAGCAATTCTCCTGCTTCAACCTCCTCAGTGCTGGGATTACAGGTGCATGTCACTATGGCGGGCACAGAGTGACTGTTTCAAATCTTCTTTGAAGTTTTTTGTTCAAGTTCTTGAGCTAAACAGTGAATTAATCAAACTATGAAGTTTTATAATTCAACCAGAAATTTTTTTATTTTTTGGTACCAGGGATTGAATTTATGATCTTGTGCTTGCCAGGCAGGCACTTGTGCCACTGAGCTAAATCTCCAACCCTTCAGCCAAAGAAACTTAATAACTAATTTATAGTTTTTTTATTTTCATAAAGTTGATATTTTACTTCAATAATTATAGATTAGTATTCTTTTTAAAAATAATGCAATCTTAGTACACTAATACTTTGAAGCAGTTTTTAACTTGTGTACCAGTTACAAAGTACATACAATAGAAAATCTGTTGAATATGCAGTTTTCTCTCTGTAGAGTTTTAGGCTTAAATTGAGGTCTACATAAGTTGATCCATCTAATAAACTTTTCCTTTGGGAAGAACCTTGCTAAAGGGGCTGGGATTTAGCTCAGCGGCATAAGTGCCTGCCTTGTAAGCAGGCAATCGTGAGTTCGATCCCCAGTACCGATAAAAAGGAAAAAGACAAAAAAAAAAAAAAAAAAGCAGAAAAACAAAACAAAACAAAAAGAACTTTGCTAAATAATGGTGCTTTGAATTCTATAAGTGGCAATTAATAAATCTTATATAATAGATTGAATTGAATCCAGTTGAATGTAAGTTACACTGTAGGAGAGGGCTCTACAGAACAAAGTAACATTCTATAACAAAAGAACAAGTAGTTTTATTCTTTATTAAGCTTTTTAATCATTAAATTGAAACCAGAGGAATTTCTTTATCATCCATAGCAACAGAACTATAAAATATGAGGTGAAGAAAATGTATTACCATTTTTTAGTTCCCCTTATGTTAAAGGAATTGTAGTAGATAGTTTACTCATCATTGTATGTAACCTTGTCTCAATCTTTCTAGCCACAAAGTACCTCTCTCCATTCCTACTGAAATCATAGTTCTTTACTCTTTGCCATTGTACTTTAGGGAATTTCATGTTGTATGCCATCACTTGCACTCAGAATACATAAGATGCAAGACTAGGCAGTATATAGGATATTGAGCTGAAAAGCCACCTCTTTTTTTCTACAACTATTAGTATTTGAAAAATGGGAATATGATATTATAGAAGAATATTCATTTTTAATAAAATGCGATTCTAGCAAAAGAATTATATATCCAATTGAATTTATTTTATTAACGCATTCAGAAGCATTTACTAGTCACGTCTAGTCCCACAGGCCTGTAATTCCAGGACTCTGGGAGACTAAGGCAAGCAGATCACAAGTTTGAGCCCAACTTAGG